CCCCCCGCCCCCCCCCCCCCCCCACTTCCCATTGCAACCTCTCTGCTTTCTTTCTGCTTTGATGCTCTTCTCCCCTCCCCTCTCTCCCTAGTCCGGGACCTGTCCCCCATTCCCAGCACACATACCTCTGTCTCTAGCCCTAGGTCCTTCGTCTCGCCAAATGCCAGCCGACTATCAGGTCCCTCGGTGGGTACTGCCTTCTGCCCCAGAGCAGGTTCCCCGTAACTTTACAAAGCCCAGGGGCAAAGGGTTTGGGAGGGATGCCTGACCCTTTTGTGCCTCCATCGTGATGCACTGCCTCCGGAAAGCAATCAACCCATCTCCCCAGTAGACCTCCAGGAGCTACAGACCTACGGACTTCCAGCTTTCCCAGTACCCAAACGTAACAGAAGTCCATTCACTGCACTGGAGCTGGGAGCTACTGGCAAGCATCTATTCTGGGCGCTTGGTGATTGAGCCCGTGATGAGGCTACCAGACACTCAGTTTAACTGGGAATGAAACAGGTCTAACCCCCTCCTGCCACCTTTGCAGTTTTCCACTCCAAGACTTGGTGCTTAATGACATGTTTTGCTCGGTTGGTTGTTTCCAACAATGAAGTCCATTAAAAGGGGAGGAAAGAACCACTCCTGATTCTTCCTACCCGAAGCGGCAGGAAAACAGACTCCTACTTTCAATAAAGGCTCTTGTGTGTCCCTCGCCTGGATTTTAAGTTGTTTATTAAGCCAAGTGTACGGAACTAATTATTCTGCTCCTAAAAGGGAAAATAGCCCGAGCCTTGCGAGTTAATGAATAGCTCCTGCACATTACAAGTTAACTTTTTTTTCAGGAACACTTTTTTTTTTTTCCACGGAGCGTTGCACTCTTCCTTATACGCTTCACGTGGAAACCCTTCGCTGGCTGGCTATGTCTGTTAATGTTTTATAATTAAATGTTTTCACTTGTCTACCTGAACCGGCTTTTCGAAAGCCTATCACATGTGCTAGCTCTTTGTGATAGCTAGCTGTTTCAGTACCTTTTCAGTTGGAGATTATTTTTAGTCAGTGCCAACACAAATCTAATTGCTCTCCTCGTGCCCTTTAAAATTCGGCTTTTAAAGGTTACACACGGGCAAACTCTCCACTACTGTTACTTTAAAGCTCTATCTGACTGTCTCTTCGTTTTAACATCCAATTTTCTTTTAGCGAGGGAAGCAGACTGATTTCTTGCACTTGACCTACCGCAGAAAATTCTGCAAATCCGTTGATTGTCTTCTTTAAAACAAAACAAGGAAATCAGCTCTCCCTTTTGCTTCAGGATTACACTGGAAACAAGATCTAAAGATTCTCTTGTAATTTGGAGAGGCCAACAGAATAATAGGTTTGGAATAGAAACAAGCAGCTTTGTGAGGGGAAGGATAACTAAATCGTTTTTAGGCAAAGGATTTTCCCAGCTAGAGTGGCCGAAGACAAAGAAAAACATAATCTATTTTGGAAGATTTCCAAGTTATGCCACATTAACCTTAGTAGATAAAAATTTGCTTTTCTCTCTGAGCTCCCTCCGCCAGCCCGAGTCTGGTTAGTCATATTTGCATAAGTACCCTTAGAAGGGATGTATCTATTATGGATCTAAAGAGCCAACTAGCTCACATTTCATTTGAACATCTAGGCGAAGTTTTACTGTCGCTTTATACTTGATGCATTGTAGAACCTTTTCCATTTAAATACCCCCTGACCCATGGATTACCTCAATGGACTGGCTGCACGGGCTTTGTAATTTCCTGAAAATGAGATTTCGATTTATAAAACAAGAAACCAATTAGTAACCAAATGAGGCGAAGTAGATCCACTAAAATTGACCTAATCCCACAGGCACCATTTAGGCCAGTTCTTGGCGAATGAATGATGAGCCACCGTCTAGCGTGGGCGCGGGGCATCCTCCAGCTGTGTTATTGCAAGCAGCAAAAATAAATTGATCGAGCTTTTCCTTCCGAATGAATGTTATACTCTTGACAAAATATAAAAGATGTCCCCAAAATAACAATCTCCTCCACTGGAGGATGTATTTTTTATATAAAATAGACAACTGAAGCTGCAAGGGAGCGACCACATTTCGGTTTTAGCCAACCCGTGGGGTTGTCTGGACTATTTGAGCAAATTAGCATCCTAATTAACAACAACAACAAAACAAAACGTTAGCTTTGGCCTGGACTGAGAATTGAATCCACATTTCTTTTAACAATTTATCCGTAGAAAAGTTGCACTGAAACGTCCAACTTTTTTAGAATATAGCAAAGGTAGCGTCTCTACCTTTCTGCACAGGAGCTAACTGTATCGGCCACATCTGCTGAAGCATTAGTATTCCCGGGGCTTTTGAAATGTTTTATTCTCATTCACACACGCCCAGACGGCTGCACAAGCTAGTTCACACGAACAGGACGTCCTAAGATAAGGACAATGTAATACCCACTGCTAAAAGAACCGACTGCTTTGAGCTAACAATATCCACCCTCCATTTTTTGATTGATCCAATCTTTAATGCCGGGAACCAATGGCGAAGTTGGGTTGATGGATAGTTTCTGCCCAATGACAATTCTGCCTTATTGCAAGAGTCAGATCCCAGGGATCACTCCCCCAATGAAATATCATACAAAACGTGAGCAAAACTGGGGTTCAGGGTAGCGAAAACAACTGCCTCAGAACAAACTTTGCACTCCAAGATTAAGATGCTTCTCAATGAAAGATAAGGGCCAAGAATTGACTGCTGGTGGTGGCGGGGGAGGTTTCTGAGCTGAAAAAACAGAGCCCTTGAAGGGTAGTTTGGTGGAGGCTCATTTACCCTCGCTTAAGCTAATTGCTGGCCTTTGGTGGTGAACGCACTTGGAGGCTGCACTCTGACAGTCCATAATGCTGGGTGTCAAATTGAACAGTGCGGGAACAGAGCGACCCAAGAAACGATGGGTACTAAATATATATTCAGCTAGAGATGAGACCCTATAGGAATATCGGTAGTTCAGATTGCTGATTTATTTTAAATGATTACAATCAAAATAAAATTCCAAACGAAATAAGCTGTGGGTAAGTAACAGCATTGGGCTCTGATCCTTCTGCTTTTATTCAGGTAGAGGTTTGAAGGAAATCAGCAGACTTTTGCCTGAATCGTGTATCTTTACAGCTTCTTCACTGTAGTTTGTGCTTAATAAAAATTTATTTCTAAATAATCCTTTGCCCTGATACTGTATGTCCTACTCCAGAGAACTCCCCATTGAAATCAATCGAGAGTTTTACCTAAATGACTGCAGAATTTGTCCCGGATTTGTGGCTCGTGGTTCTAAGTGGGGTTAGAAAGACCATTATTATCCTCGAAAGATTTTTTTTTGGGGGGGGGGGGG